CTACAAATTTTATAATAAAAATATAATTATAAATAATATTAAATATTAATAATTATATATAATATTAAATCTTAAATATCATAAGACCGTACATGTGAGAGACACAACCAATGAGAAATAAAGTTTTTAACGATTTAATTGAATTGTGCTTGTATAATTCCACGTGAATTTATATATTACGTATATTATCTTTTAAACTGTGCGCCGCATAATTTTTCAATCTTGAAACACAAATTATTAAACTATTACAGCAATATTATATATTACGAGTTAAACTGATCAACAATTTAACAATTTTTGATGCTTTTTACGTATCTTAGACCGATGTTGAACGATAAATATGCCGAATAGGAAAACAGCCCCGATGACCTTGATCTTGTCAAGGTCACGATCCTGAGTAACCTCCAACATGTTTTAGCCCTGGCTTGTTATTGTTATTTGTTAAAAACTTATTAACACAAAGTTTACAAAAATAATATATCATTTCTACTATAACAAAAGTCTCGAATATTTTTGTTTTTAAAGTACTGAATTTTTGTTTTATATAACAGAACGTTATTGTTAATGACTTTTTAACAAATAACGAGCGACGGCTGTTGGCGGTTACTCAGAGTCATGACCTTGACAACATATGTCAAGATCAAGATCATCACGGCTGTTTCCTCTATTCGGCATATTTACCTGTTGAACGACATATTGAAATCTGTAAATAATAATTTTATTGCGAAAATATTACTTCGACCGGGAATCGAACTCGAGTCTCTTGCATTCCATGCGTTCTAAGCCTTTAGATTATCGAAGTATAATTATAAATATATAATCTAACTCGATAGTTACATATAATTATAAACATATTATAACTTTATTATAACTTGTATAGTGTCTGTTTTTGTTAAAATGCAGTATAAATGAATGATTTTGCATGAATGATTCCAGGAAAAAGTAATTCTTTCTCTTCCTCCTCTCCCTCCTCCCAATGCAAGATTAAAATAATTATTAATATTTTTTTCTGTTCGTTTTATACTAAATTCTCTAATAACAATCATTATCGGATAAAGATGAATAAATTCTCTCAGAGATAAGAACGAAGCGCGTCCGGGACGCAGTAAGAAGGTCAAAGGTTTCGGCTGGAAATGAATACAGCACACGTTCTATGAATGAACCGTGTCGAACATAATTTTACCAATTCATATTAACATTTTAAATAACTTCGCTAAAAAATAATATTTGTTTTATAAAATACAAGTAGTACAGATAATACTTCTAAAATATTATAGACATTTAAAATAATTTTAAAAACAAAAAATATAAATAATTTATATAAAAAGCATAAATTATATATAAACACATAGAAAAAATAAAGGATTCTTTAAAGATTAAATTCTAAAATAACAAAAAATTCTTTGAGAGAAAGAATCAAAGAATCTCGTACAATTTTTGTAGAAAATGGCTTTTGGTTAAATTTTCAGAAAATTTACTATTACTATGATAGTTCTTGATGTGTAGATCAAATGTCAATAGATAAATTTTAAGAAATTATAGTTTTTAAATTACAGCCGTGTCTGAAATTGGCATTTTTGTGCATTTTGCATCGTTTAAAGTGGAATGTAAACTCTTTATATATATATAATTTATATTTATATATTTTCCTACCATATATAATTTCCTACCAAATACTTGATAGGAATGATGTGAGTAGAAATTTTATTATGTGACTGAGCAAGTCCGAATCAAGGGTGCCGTAATACATAATCTGATTCTGGTAAGGTCACCTGATCCGGTCTGGCAAGATGTGTAATGGATTGCATGTTTAGGACCGAATTTCATTTACCTAGTAAGGACCATATTAGATTGACTCATGAGGACTCTTTCAGGCCTAACATTCAGGATACACATATTATCAAGAAAAAGAACTCTTATTATATTGAAAATATACACTGAAAATCCTATTTGATTGAATGAACTCCTTGTTTTGAGTTGGACAAAAAAATTCTTGATTGATGCAATTAAATAATGTAGTTTAAACTTTCTGCGGACTGTTTCGATTAAATTATTTAACACACAAGTAAAATGTGTTACAATAATCCAATTTTTTACTTCAGGAACGCGCATAGTTCATAGTTATGAATGATTCACATTCTTGTCTTACTTTAATTTATTAGTCATATCGTCATTTTAATTCCTTGTTAAACAAAATATTTTATATAAACTAAAATGACACGATAGCACTGAGTAGCATTAAATAACGTTTCTCCGAACTCAACCTAATCTAACAAAATATGCTCAGACTCTTAATTTGACGTCTACATGATTAATAAATAATTCACATAATATCTAATCGACGTCGGAACAATTTTTATTTCTCCCTAGGAAAAAATGTTTTATTATTTAATAATTTATTTCTGTTTTTATAATTAATAAGTATATTTATTCACTAAGGAAAGAAAGACTGGCTTTTGGATTAACCCTTGAGTGCTAATTTTTTAAATATCGCGGTCCTGCTTGCAGCTCAAAAAAATATTTCATAAATAAAGATCGCTGCTATGCTATTAGGTTTTTGCATGGCTAAATATAGCACAATGACTGCGTTCAGTAGAGAAAACTAATCAGCACTTGGGATTTTTTAATATGATTGGTTCTTGCTTTTAGTTCTTCGCTGGATCTAAGTGTAGGAACCAATCATATTAAAGATTTGCTAAGTTCTAACCGATTAATTTTCCCTGTTGAACGTAGTAAATAATAAAAAATTACATAGCGTTCAAAATTAATATTTTTTTGCATTATTTTAGTAGATGTTTCCAATATTTAATAAACGTCTATATATTGAAATTATATTCAATCTTACGTTTCTCTCTGGAACAATCCTCATAGATCCTTAAACAACCTTTTACAAAGTTTACCTAACGAGAGTCTTCAAAATTGGTTTTTTTCAGGGCCAAATTACGTGCAAAGTCCGATCGCGCAACCTCTTCGCGGTACACATCAGGTCACGCTATAATGCCGACGGCACGCGGCGATTAGATTGATTTAATTTAATTTGCGAAATATGAGTGAATACACTAAATATACGAAACACGCACACGCACTCGCACATGCACACACACATACACACACACGCGTTAATAAAAGATTATTAATAAAAAATATATTATAATATATAATATATAGAAAGAAAGAAATATGCATATACACATGTATAAATACACACACACACACACACACACACACACACTCACACACACAAACACATATATGTAATTATGAAAAATATATAAATATGTACGTATGTATAGTAAATGTAAGAAAATATGTACGCAGATATGATTCTGTCTGTATAAGACTCCATTTCACTTTATGTGATCAGCAAAATGCACAAAAGCGCCAACTTCGAATGGCTGTAACTCAAAAATTATAACTTTTTAGACTTTGTACCCATTGACGTATTATCCGAATCTAAAAAAATTCTTGTACACTTGTAAAATCTATAAAAACAAATTTTTGTTATAATAAAAACTAAACTACATTTTATTAATTTCTTATAAATTGAAATCTGAATTGGTGAATCATATTTTGAAATAAAGTAAGAAAAGGGTATGTTTAATTGACAAGAGTATAAAAACTTGAGACAATAAAATTATTTTTCATAACTTCAAGAATAAATCTCCTTCTTCCGTATATTTTTAAATTATTCAAAGAGAAATGGCATCATTTATTTTCCATATTTTAATATAGTAATCCAACGTATAAAATCAGATTACACTTAATAATTTTAATAATTTTATTTTATAGTTAAAATATTCTAACAATAATAAGTCTATTCTCGATGCACACATATACACATATTGCGAAAAAGTTGTGTTTATTATTGTCGTTAACCATATCGTTTTATTATTCAATTCCGCGATAAACTCCATTTGTAATGCTGTTTATAATATTTACGTGGGTACTAGTCCCATTATTATTATATCAACTGCAATAATTATACATTTGATGATAAGATTACGTATTCTAAATTGTCACGTAGAATTTATTTCAATCATATCTTAACTATATTAACTGTATTAAACGGTTTAATGATTATGCACTTAATTATGTAAATAAAAAATATACAATAAAATAAACAATGAATCATTATTAACGATTAAGTTTACAATATATACAAAACATTATTTCATTCTAAATTATAGCAAAACACATTACTGTTATATACGTATACTTTATCATATTGTCTAAAGTAAGCATAAATCTTTTTTTTTGTATGGTAGCAATAATAGTTTTAATTGTTGTGAAGTTGTCTATTTAAAAAAGATTTGTTTTTCACTCTATAGTGCTTATTAAATAATCTGATGTATACATATAAATTTATAATCTAAGTGTATTTATACATATAAATTAATAATCTAAGGAGCACACAGAAAAACATAAGACAATAAAACATAAGCGATAAGTAAATCGGCCAATTAATTGTAAGTTTTCTATTGAGAAAAAGTAAGGCAATAATAGCAAATCGAAAAAAACTGTTGATTTATTTACTGTTTGTGTATCTTACCGCTTACATTTTTTGCAGTAATGTAACTTCAAAATTTTGACCCGGGAGCATAATCTTTTAAAGATCTTGTCATTGAATGCACGACATCCAAACATCAAATCTTAGCTTACTATAATAACAGAGTATCAGAAACAGAACCGAATGTAAAGTGCAAGTGCAATACAAATTTATAAATACGGACTTTTATTTTTAATTTAACTATCAAATAATTAGTGAAATAATTATATTTTAAATGATAACATTTATCGATTTAAAATAAGATATTTTTTTGCCTTAAGTCTTATCAAGTTGTTTCTGATAAAATTTTAGCGTTGATCGTAAAAATGGCATATCATATTAAATTTTTTAGAAAATCTTACAAAGTTGATAAAATAAATATTTTTAATACGTCCGCGTTAATGATATCGATTTATAAAGATCTACTAGAAACGACTTATAGAATATCAAAGCAAATTGTATATATATATATATATTGAACAATATAATTAAAAATTGAATTAAATTTCAACGATCCCAGGGTCGCAGCCCCTTCTGTCTCTCTGTAGTTACGCCACTGGTTTTTTGTATGCTATAACCTTGATATTTGTGCAAATAGAAGAAACAGTCCAATTCATTTTATCATCCTAAATAATGTTCTCGTATCAGGAACGGCTAAGTTTTATCAAAATATAGGTCACACACACTCGAGAAAGGAACACACGCTAGTGTCACAAAGAAAGACATGTAATATAACGTTGCGTTACTATATCGAACTGTTATAGAGAAGAAAGTTTAAATATGGGCACGCAGAGCCCATTCAATTCTATGTAGCACTGTAATCTAATAACAAGAATATAGATAATTTTGTTGAAAATGTGGCATG